AGGGCCCTGAGCTTCCAAGCTCTCTCGTCTCAAGTCGGTAATACGTACGCGGTGTTCCACTACATTGCAAACAGTGTTGCAGGATGGCAGATCGGCGTTGATGGTGGGCATGACAGTTTTGATGGTCGGCATGGCAGCGTTGATGGTCGGCATGGCAGTGTAGATGGTCGGCATGGCAGTATTGATGGTCAGTATGGCAGTGTTGATGGTCGGCATGGCAGTGTTGGTTACCGGAAGGGCAGTGTCGATGGTCTGCTGAGCAGTGTTGCTGGACGGCAGGTCAGACTTACGCAAATGGTGGCAGTACACTGCAGGCAATACGAACAATACTGGCAGTCTCAAACATCCTCAGGGCCTCCAGCACGTACGATGCAATGGTACCAGCCTGTATGTGTGACCAACAAGAGTCAGAAAAGAAGAGGTCGCTTGGTGAGATTCTATGAACCTGGAGGCTTGTATTTTGCAGCTACATATACATGATATGTATGGCCAGTACCCTATGAGTGCATTTTCCATACACCCTGTAGCACGAATACTAGTAACCAAAAAAACATGAACAACTTGCGGAGGTATGATATGGGAGAGGAGCCGGATGTGATGTTGTGGTCCTTTAAAAGGCTGTACTGGCGTGCCAGCACATGTGGGAATGCGAGTCTGGCCAACTCTTACACGAATTGGATAAGCGGTTATTGGCAGTTGCTGGACTTGATGACACCTGCTCGAGCATGCATGCGGGATGTGCGCTAGAATACGGTGAAGCAATCTAGTACCGTGCATATGGACATGTGTAACATACCGCGGGATAAAGGGTCCAGTGAAACCTGTCCAAGACGACCGCTCAAGGGACCTACAAAACGTGGTCTCTGTTACCAGGTGGTCTCCTTATCCAGGGTCATTTAACTGGAAATAGCATCCCTTGCTTGGTCATGGTTTCAGTGGTCTTCTGGCCCGTTCTGGGACAGGTGGTCGCCTTGACAGGTTTTCTGTACGAAATTTGAGAACCTTGCCCTACTACTATGCCAGGCACTTGATCCCGAATACTAGTATAGACACAGCTCTCGGCTATAAGTTAACATTTTAATAATAATTACAGATTATTATGCCCCTTCCATCCCCCTACCCTTGAGTTATGTTCTACTCGAACAGGTGCACTATGTGTAAAGTTGTACTCAGTGAAATCCCACCCAAGGTGCAAAACCGGCGGCCTGAACAGTTCTGACTACGTCATCGTAGTTGTACATGTGTACGTCCAGCCGCAGTCGTGCCACTTCCAGGGCATCGAGGGCCGTGCAACCTGAGGGCGCCAAATACGCACTCTGGGTCGGATTTCAGCGAGCACGACTGTACTTTGAAGAACATAGCAGCAGTAAGGGGAAGCAGGAGAATGGCGTACCAGGGTGAGAATGAACAGCATAATTCCAATAGCAGCGAAGGAGAGAACGGGGCTCTTGAAGAACAGCGCCGCAAAGTAGGCGAAGGAAATGGAAGACAAGCCGCCGAAGAACTGCAGTGGAGCAGAATACACACACATGGGACAACAGCAGTTGGATCTGAGGGCAAGTGTTTGCGCAACACAGCAATACATGTACATAATCTTCTCGGCTAGGCGTGCAGTGTCTCAGTTACAATTGGCATATCCACTATCAATTGAATCACAGGCCTAAGGGAGAGCTGCGCGACTTCACATTGGACAAGCAAGCATTGCGTCACTTCTTACCAGTACGTAAATAGTATCGTTAAGGACAGCCTTGATAGTGGCATAGCTAGTACCATACACAGCTACTACAATGGCCAGCAGTGACCACACCACCACATAGGTGATGACGTCAGCGATGTAGTTGGCCAGCCAGTAGGATACGGGCCCTACGCCGCTGACAAACTGAATGTGCTTGGCCTGAATGTGTACATAGGGACGTGCCGACGCATGCATGCACACACACACACATACACACACACACACACACACACACACACACACACACACACACACACACACAGACATGCGCACACGCGCGTACGCACACACAGACATGCACACATGCGCACAATAAGACAAATGTTGAAGCAAGAAGGCGAACAAGACAATGAGCATAAGCATCATTTAACACTGGTAAGAAGAACATCTATGACACACCGTCTTAAACAGGACCGCTGGAAGCAGTTTTCAATTCAAAAAAGCCAAATTGACGCAGGGAGGCACCGGAGGTGAGCTAGCCCCCCCCCGGGTCAGTGCCTATGTCAGAGGATATCATATGCACACAGTTCGAGTACTACTGGGCAGTGTGCATCCACTAGCCTTTGGAGAATCCTTGAAATAGAACGTCAAATATCAAAACTAGGAGCCGGACTGCTTATAGAGGCCCAGTGGGCACAGCATCAGATCGTTAACCGGATTTTGACTGCGTACTGGCCTCCCGGCAGCCTATTGCAGCCCGACTGCCTATTGTGGCCTGACCACCTATTTTGGCCTGACTGCAAGGACCAGCGGAAGCAGTTTTCGGTTGGTCCAGCCATACCCTAGCCTTCCATATAGTTTGTGTATGATATAGTGGGTATGTATAACCTGCTCAGCAGTAAACATGCATTGCTGGCCACCAAGTTGGTCCGGTGATGACCTGACCAACTGGACTAGTTCCGGCGAGCTTGACTGCCTATTGTGGCCCGACTGCCTATTGTGGCCCGACTGCCTATTGTGGCCCGACTGCCTATTGTGGCCCGACTGCCTATTGTGGCCCGACTGCCTATTGTGGCCCGACTGCCTATTGTGGCCCGACTGCCTATTGTGGCCCGACTGCCTATTGTGGCCCGACTGCCTATTGTGGCCCGACTGCCTATTGTGGCCTGACGGTCTACTGAGTCCAATATGCAGCTCACATTGCATCGCATGATCCTACCTTGTTCTTCTTCTCAGTCAGTGGGAAGATAACGAAGCTAGCCAGCATGAACGACAGTCCAATGCCAAAGACCAGGCCGAACGTCAGCGTTGCTGAATTTCCAGCGAGCTGTGTTGCCTAGAGAGTCGAGACAGCAGCAGCATCAGCATCAGCAGGAGCAGCAGCAGGAGGAGCAGCAGCAGCAGCAGCAGCAGCAGCAGCAGCAACAGGAGCAGCAGTGGTGAAGTACACAGGAAAGCAAGAGACGGTCAGGGAAGACGGTGAGCACAGGTCATTCATCTCCGTGTGCATGCACGCAATGTTAGACAAGTATCAGACACCTGTTCACTGCCCCGGTCTGCTACCTATACACTCAGTACTCGGGCGTATTGCTTCTTTGAACAACAGTTGTGGCAAGTAAAATCTGGGCCAGTGCACACATACAGGGCCAACGACAGCTTGGCCTCACGTGCGCCATTCACAAGATAATTAATGGGCTTTCCAGACCAAATAGCCTGGTTCGCGGCCAAAGCCTCACAAGGTGTGTGCATAGGTGCGCATGGTGCAACTGTACTGGCGATTACCTCGTCACTCGCTGGAACGATTGGCAACAATGCCGCTTTGATGCCGTACGTTCCCACTGTCCAGGATTGAGAGGATCGCACTCTGCTGCGCAACACAGCCTCTAGCCACACATTGCTGAATGTGTTCAGAGCTGACGGGCCGCTGTGATAGTCCTTCAGACACGCACACGTGCAAAACATGCACACACGTGCAAAATGCACACAGACACACATGCACACACACGCACGCACGCACACACACACACACACACACACACACACACACACACACACACACACACACACGCATGCATGCACGCACACACACACACACACAAGTGATAGAAAGAAGCAGATAAAGCAGAGTACACAAACACCTGCACAAGCAAAACTTCTCTAAGCCGGTTGTGTTTCTCAACACAATTGTATAGCCAGTGGTATTGCGGATGTGTGAACTTTGCCTTTAAAAAAAATTTGTTTTACACAAACACCAGCGATGCAGATTCAGCATCTCTCTCTCTCTCTCTCTCTCTCTCTCTCTCTCTCTCTCTCTCTCTCTCTCTCTCTCTCTCTCTCTCTCTCTCTCTCTCTCTCTCTCTCTCTGTCTCTCTCTCTCTCTCTCTCCCTCGCTCGCTCACTCCCACTTTGAAATTTGCTTCCATAGAATTGGGCACCATTGCCAGATTTGGCCTTGCGAAGTAAAAATCAACAACCACACCCACTTGCTCATTTCCATTCCCGTCATTATAGAGAGAGACCCAAGGCAGGGCCATGATTTGTGAAGGAAGAATCTATAAAATTAATCATGATTCATAGATTCTACTCTGAGAATGTGACTCCATTTCATTGGTATTGTGTAATTTCAAGTACCGATTTCCCCCGACTGTAAGTCATACTCAAATGTAAGTCGCACCCCACTTCCAGGTCCATGTCATAATCCTTTCAATACCTTCGTTTCAGTAGTACGTCATGCTCGATTGTAAGTCGTACCCCCTTTGTTGGCCGTAAAGTATAGTGTAAAAAAGTGCGACTTACATTTGGGGAAACACAGTACATGTACTAATGGCGAGTGACTACTGATATGCACTGCCAGCCACCAGTCTACTCTACGCACATACCATAAAATACCGTTGATCCCCCCCCCCCCCCCCCACGCCATGTCCGGGAATTAGATCAAGACTGTCAAGTGCAGTACGATGTACAACAACGTAAACAATCAGACTCGATGTGCTGAATTGTGCACATTTTCATCCTGGATTGGCACTTATTGTGTACAGCAGTGCATGCGTCGGTTCAACATCGTATTTCGTTGTATACGCCGAAGTCGCTTCACAGGTAGAAAATCGACAGGGGGCGGGAATTAGAGAGGGGACGGATCAATGGTACTTTACGGTACTGTAAAACCGGGAATTTTTGGCGGTGTAGTATTTTCGGTATCTCCCAAAATCAACAGTTCGGTAACGCGAAAATTTCGATAATCCAGTTTTCCAGATCCAAAAATGCATTTTGCACACTGTGTGTCATGGCATTGTTGAATTTTAGGTCATGTTTTATTTTAGGTAAAATTACTCGTGCCGAAGTTACCGAAAATACATCTCCACCGAAATTTTCCGGTTTTAGAGTACATGTAGGCCTGCGTGCGCAGAATTTAGGTGCAATGGATTCCAGTTGGGAATTTCCCTTACGTACTCTCCTCTTGTCTCTGGCATGACAAGTTTTCGATCCAGTTTGAGACGAAGATGCCATATCGTTGACGAGCTCCCGCAAGCGTGCAGACAACGCATTGTGAGAAATTATTTTCGTTGGTTGTGCCTCGAGATAATTTTTTTTAATACATACGAACAGAACGCAGAGCTGGAATCTGATTCAGCGAGCAATGCACAGAATTACTGCCCGAGCCCGAGCCCCGGGCAATACACGGAAATACCTGCCCGCACACGGGACACACCAGTTGGTCATAGTACTGCTGTACAGACAGCCCTGACGCAACACATACAATAGCGACGCATACCTGACTGATTACCTGTACAAGTATACATGACTTACCTGTCCCCCATGAACAAACACGCATACAGTAGGGCAACTCAGACCTGTACACATGCCTTACCTGTCCCCCATGAACAAACACGCATACAGTAGGGCAACTCAGACCTGTACACATGCCTTACCTGTCCCCCATGAACAAACACGCATACAGTAGGGCAACTCAGACCTGTACACATGCCTTACCTGTCCCCATGGACAAACAGCCACATGCACTAGCAACTCATACTGTCAAAGCCATAATACATATATATAACGAAGTGCTAACTCTAACGAGTTAACGAGGAGAAATCTGTCGTTAAAATAGAAATCGTTATACAGAAATCGATACATAATTATACTGTCCTACTGAGCGTTGAGAATGAGTGAGAATCGTTACCTTTGGCACACGTAAACTAGTCAATTTTGGGAAATCGTTATATATGCGCCTCGTTAGAATAACGGCTTTTACAGTAACTGTACACACATATCTTACCTGTCCCCATGACCATAAGCGCACATAGAAGGGATTTTCCATGGCTTGCTCGGACAGTGTCGCGCAATACGTGCTGTTGGCACGTGTACTATACAAGGTGTCCCCAGTGCCTTGCCGCACACCGCTGCTTGTCGTGCCCAAGCAGCTGACGGGCGGGTCGCGCTGATAGAGGTTGTAGTGACTGTAGGCTTCGCTTTCATCCTGCACGCAGAACGCCCAGCACATGCCGCCGCCGACATACACACACACACACACACACACATACACATACACACACACAGAGGACACGCACAATCACGCACACCGTCATGCCATGTGCCATGCACAGTGAAATGTCATGTGCTGTGCAAGCAGAAATATTCGCCAGCAGTATAATTTCGCCGTTTTTGGCTAAAGAGTTTTCGGACTGAATTCAATGCAGGACTAAACATCGATTGTCTCACCTTTCAGTAGATTCCAATAGACGCTGAAGAAAAACTCAACCAGACAGACTGCCTTTTTTTGGAGTAGGACCAAACTACCAGGTTAAAAAATAATTATTCCCGTAGCTATGCAGAAGACGTTACTTCAGTGACGTCTGGCGCTAGCCAGGGTCCACACAGCTTTAATTTGGTATTTGTGTGTTTGTTTGTTTGTTTGTTTGTGTCACGCCTGGCGCTATCCCGTATCTGTCCCGTACCGTACCGTACCATCAAACACAGCTGGCCACATACAGCTGGCCGCAATATTCAAATAGGGCTTTTAAACGCAAGATCATAACGTGAAGCAACTTGGAAGAATGGGTATGAATCCGAAGTGTATGGGGGAATGCATGTAGGGCGACATCCCTATGCTTTTTTTGCCGTCATCAAGGCGGTAGACGGTGTCGTATTACCCTCGATTGTACCTGTCCCGTACCGTACCGTACCAGCAAAGACGGCTGGCCACAATGCATATTCAAATAGGGCTTTCAAATGCAAGATCATACGTGAAGCAACTTGGAAGAATTAGTATGTTTGCGAAGTGTATCGGGGGATGCATGCAGGGCGCGCGATAGTGCGGGTTCGAATCCCAGGTTATGTCTTTAAAAAAAGGAGAAATTTATAAGAATTTATAACATCTCTATGCTTTTTTTGTCTAGGTCATCAAGGCAAAAAAGCATAGCGTAGGGCCCTGAGCTTCCAAGCTCTCTCGTTCACCGACTAAATTTTCTCCGGTCACCAGTTTTCCGCCCGAGCACGTCGGATATCCAGCAAACCTGGGAGTGCTAAATTCATGACTCCCTTTGGTGACACCCATGGCTGTCGGTAACGCCATGCCATTGCTGGCGAAGAGAAACAAACGGTGCTGAAAATTGATCAGAAACTTGAAGTCTGGTGTTTAGCAAGCAACAGTGAGTGATCACATCAACGTATACACACTGACAAGCGCTCAAACGTTACACTGTCGCTAACTCGTACAATGGTACTGGGGAGAAATCTGGGAGGGGGGGGGGGGGGGGATACTACGGCGTGATTGGCAGTACACACATGCACCTAAACGCTACTACTCACTGCCACCATGGTATGGAAGCTGAAGGTGGCTGGTAGTGAGTCCTGGACACTGCGCGACAGCGATCCCGTCTCCAGGAAGTACTGCTGCAAGTAACCAGTGAAGGAGGACTGCAAATCTAATGGCGAGGCGGGACACGCTGTCGCTCCTCGCCCACAGCTGAACAAGGCAAAACGAGATCAAGGACAAGAACAAGGACAAGAACAAGGACAAGAACAAGGACAAGAACAAGGACAAGAACAAGGACAAGAACAAGGACAAGACCAGGGCAAGACAAGAACAAAGACAACGACAAGGCCCATGACAATGACAAGGACAAAGACAAGGGCAAGGGCAAGGGCAAGGACAAGGGCAGCGACAAGAACAAAGACAAGGACAAGGACAAAGACAAGGACAAAGACAAGGACAAAGACAAGGACAAAGACAAGGACAAGGGCAAAGACAAGGACAAGGACAAGAACAAGAGCAAGACAAAGACAAGGACAAGACAAGGATAAGTACAAGGACATAGGATGCGGAAGATCAATAGCAAGCACTCAAAAATCATTGAAAAGATAACGGGCACTTCCCCCGTTAACAAAACCTTCGCGATGGATTTTGATGGATAATGAACCGGCCAAAAACAAAAAAACAAAAAAACGCTTAGGGGTCGTCCGTAATTTTCGAAAAATTAAAAAATCCGTCCTCGTGCAAAATTGTCTCTGATCCCCCCCCCCCCCCCCATTTTTCCCATTAATTTTTTTAATTTTTACCGGTGCCCAGCTCGAAAATAAGAACTCCTGACCCCATGTTTTTTGACTGCACCTACAGTCAACTTCGCTTATAACGACTGCGGATATAACGACAATTCGCGAATAACGACATAATTTTCATGCCCAGAGCAAAGTCCCATCCAACTGTGACACACATAATGAGACTTTGGGTATAACGACACTTCGCGAATAAGGACACTTTTCTGATGCCCCGCCGAGTGTCGTTATAAGCGAAGTTGACTGTACATCTATGTCAAGTACTACAAGTAGTAGCTAAGTACAGTGAGTAGATTTAGTAGGTCTACCGACATCACGGCCATGCACCGTCCTACAACTACATGAAAAGTCATGTATATTATAATAGTGGAAGATACTGGTGTTTGCGACAATCGATCCAACAAGTCTTCAATACAGTACACAGTCAGCTATAATATCAGTGCAACAAGTGTCTGAAAGTCACTGGAGCAAAAAAAGTACGAAAAATCAAAAAAATTAAATTCCGCCAGCACTCTTGACCACCCACCCCCTTTTTAGCTGACGTATTTTTAGGGTGCGTTCTTAAATCCTCTCGGAAAAGTTGGAGACTCTCCGAAAAGTTCGAGAGCTGTTCTTATATCCTCTCCGACTTTTAGGAGGCTCTCCAAAGCTCTCCAAGCTCTCCCAGCTTCAGAGGTGGTTGAAACTTGGAGATTCCCGCGGTTTGGGATCAGCGCATGCGAACTACCACTAAAAGCCACGAGTTCATCATGAGTGTACGCATTTCCCTTTTCGCATACGCACACATACAAACAACATGTCATCACTCAAGATCGCGGCCCCTTTGACGCTTCATTTTGCTTGACATGTGCAAAATATCTCCGATTTCTTCGAGACCCGTTCTTGAGTAATCCCAGTTTCTTCGACTTCTCTTTTCTTCTTCTTCTAGAAGCTAGAGAATATAAGAACGCACCCTAAATTTTTCGAAAAATACGGACGACCCCTTAGAACCGGCCAAAAGAGTTTTTATCGACTGTAAATCACTGAACAAAGGTAGTTCAGCCGTAGTGACGCGCATACAAGCACATGTGCCTATACCCGGGCATAAGCGCACCCTCACAAATAAGCGCAAGGGCTTATAAGTGAACCTAAATCAGTCCATCCCGCGACACACAGACACCACAAAAATACCATGTTCACATAGTTCAATGTGCATTGCGGTATTGTACTATGTGCATTATTATGCAAGGTACCGGTACACTAGCAACTCAAGCGCATGCGCCTATGTGTGAGACAAAACGACCCTAAAAAATAGCAAATAACGCAAAAACTCGCTCATAAGCGCATGGGCGTTTATGTGCGTCACTACGGTATGTGCAGCGTTTAAAAAAAACCCGTTGGCGGAATGCGCAGAGTTCAGTTTGCGTCGCTTTCGCTCGACTCATTTTTGACCCTGCGTCGTTGTCGTCATCTGCTGCACGCGAGGCCTCTCTCGAGTCGTTGTTCAGCTTTTTTCAGCCTTGCCCCGGCTTCTTCGATCACACTCCGCTGAACTTCGGTGATGCCGCCGTCGTTCAAGTTGGTTTCCAAGCTGCGTAATCCGCCACGTCGACGATTACTCGTTTCCACCAGGGAGTCGTAAAAAAATATATTTTATGACTCACTGGTTTCACCTGTACTCTCTAGAAGTCCGCGACACGAGGAGTAAAGGCACAGCCAAACTGATTCCATTTCTCTGTATTTCAGTTTCGCTTGCCATTGCTGTCATCACCTATGTTGCCACAGCGCAACCATCGATTCCGCTTGGTTTGTTGTGGAAGGTCGCTTTCCTTGCATCGTATCTCTTTCATGGCATGCCAGGGAAGGCCGAGAAAGTGATCTCGACTCATTTCACGGCAGTTTGTGAGCAAACCAGTACCTCAAAAATCCATCGCGACGTTTTTGTTAACGGAGGAAGTAGTCATAGAGCATGGTGTATGTACATGGGTGAAATAGAGCATGGTGTGTGTACATGGGTGAAATAGAGCATGGTGTACATGGTGTATGTACATGGGTGGCATAGAGCATGGTGTATGTACATGGGTGGTGGCTGGCACAGCACTGGCAAGTGAAATCCAGCCCCACCGCTAAGGTCTATTGGTCACCCATGCCAACAGAAGTTGATACTTACGTTCCGAATGCCGCACCGTCGGACCTAGGCAGAAAGTTCAGCTGTGTATTCGGACTCTTCAGGGGCATTTCAGTGTTTAAGAAGACACATGTAGGACACCGGTTGAATGCATACAGAGGATCGCCTCCACACATAGAGGGCTAGAGAGCACGGAAAAAAGAGATACAAAACATGGTGATGAGGGTCAGTTTGGTGTCAGCATACTGTAAAAGCCATTGTAATAACAAAGTGCTAGTTCTAACGAGTTAACGAGGAGAAATCTGTCGCTAAAATATAAATCGTTATACAGAAATCGATACATATACTGTTCTATTGAGCGTCGAGAATGAGTGAGAATCGTTACACGTAAATCAGTCAATTTGGGGAAATCGTTATATATGCGCCTCGTTAGAATAATGGCTTTTACAGTAATGCCTGAGCTGTGTTCATGCTACTACTAACGTCGGTAGAAATTAACAAACAATAGCATTTGCTTTAGAACATAACAAAACATTACTAATCCCAGAATGCCATGTTTGCAGATAGCAAGCATCGCCATAATTTTTAAACGTATCCTTTGTCTTCTGAGTCGATTTCCCTTGTGTGTATTTGTGGCGTAAGTTGCAAACAGTCACGGAAAGCATCCGAGAAGGAAGTGCCAGAACGCTGACCGGTCAGGCGCCACTCCAAGAATAACAGATGGATCTGACGGCCTTAGTCTCAGTTTAGGAAATTTATTAGGGACTGGTTCGGGCTTCACATGTTCGACAAAGTCTGGATCCCCAGACTCCAGGGGTCTGGGTGATCACCTGTGTGCGTGGCTTACATGTCACTTTGGTTCTAGTGTGTATGTGACCGTGACCGGGGCAAGCCGCAAAAGTCGAACACTGCCCGACTTTGGCAGCCCTCACCGCTGCTGGGCTACCGTAGAATTTTGGTATGCAATCGATTGCCAGGACCGCCAATCCGCGTCCGGGAGAGGTTTCAAGAGGCACTCCTGGCCTGGCTGATCCTAGCATATGACGGCATGTGAACCAGCACTACGTGAATACTTGCCTCACGGCTAGCTTCAATCTGCCCCCCCCCCATTTTTTGCCAGCAGGCTGTTTTCCGTGCAAGGCGCATACAGTGATCTGCAATGACGTCAAATCCGCCTTATATGGGAGCTAGCTGAGTGGCAAAGGGTTGAGTGCGTACCGAAACCCCATAATATAGAAGACCTTTGAGTGGCAAATGCACTGTGTGACGTGTATTGCATGCATATCCTTTATAATGATCTGTGCAAAATTACATGTACAGTGAAACTGTCTAAGACGACCGCTCAAGGGACCTTCAAAATGTGGTCTCTGTTACCAGGTGGTCTGCTTATCCAGGGTCATTTGGCTGGACATAGCATCCCTTGGTCTTCGTTTCAGTGGTCTTCTAGTTCTAGGGCAGGTGGTCGCCGTATACGAGTGGTCGCCATGACATGCTTTACTGTATGTCGGCAGCATGCAGCAGCGGCATGCGGTCTGCTGGTGGCGTCAGCTTACATTCTGCTGGATCAGGCGCATGCACTCCTCGTTCAAAACCAGGTAACTCTGCGCGCAGCAGGACACTGTCTTGTTATGGAGGGAGCGCGTTGCATCCACCGCCGCCGTCAAGTCAGAGTGTTCAATACCTTGGGCTCTGGCTACGGACTGCACCTGTGCACACATCAACAAGCACCACAGCACAACAACAAACAAAACAATTCACTGTTCGCGTCAGACTCGGCTAGAGGCCGAGTTTCCCGCATCCGTAGGAACGCCACCGCCCTTCAAGGATCAAGGCGCAGATGCAGCTCCTGAAGCGGCGGTGTGAATGGGACTTTCGCATTCGGTCTTTGACCACTTTGGTGAGTCTGATCTCGTCAAGCACCGCAGCACAACAACAAACACACGGAAAACCATTGGGACGTGTAACAAGCCCTTACTTTCCTGTATGTAGCTCTTGTGTGATTGCTGTACTGTACGCATGCCGCACTAGTATCTTGCAGTTACTAGTTGACCACGAACAATGAGGAGGTTTACAGCACAACGGTACAAATGAATGCAGCAGTACTAGTACATAGTCACACACAATACCTGGATAGGAATGCCATAACAGTGATCTTCACGCTCTGCTAGCGTGCCAGGAGCATGCACAATGCACTGTACTCGCTACGATTTGTTTTAACTCTGCAGCACTCGGGCGTAAAAATCCAGGGGTGGCATTTCAGCTGGCACCGCAGTAGCTGATGGTACCACACGCACACACGCACACACATACGCACACACTCACTCACTCCCCCCCCCCCCCCACACACACACGCACACTGGTAGCTGACTGCCACTTACAGCCGTCGGTAGGTTCAAGTCTCGCTCGTTGCTGCGTCTGAAGTCGGCCGTGCGCAACGTAATCAGATTAGCTGCACTGCCCTTAAAGTAAGGTACGCCAAACTGAATGGCAGGCTCACCACTACCGGACGATGACGTGGTAGTCAATAGTGACAGACCTCCGATCAGCGCCAGAAGAGGCACAAACAGCTGAATGGTGATGACGAAATAGCTGCGGTGCACGACGGTCAGCCGCTTGATGAGCAGGGCGTACAGGCGCTGAAACCATAGTGCGGGGCCTGTCAGCAGTTCTGCACGCCACACATGGTGGCACAGGGGAGCACATGCAAGAGGAGTGATAAATACACGTGAAAGAAGTCAGGTAAGAGACAAGACCCCCCCCCCCCCCCCCCGCGCTCCTCCACATGCCCAAGGCACATGGACACACAGGAACGATGATGTCAAAAGTTCTTCTCAAAAAGCAAACGCCTTCATGATGGTAATTTCACGTTATGCTCAAATTAGTGCAGACTCATAGTTGAAAAAAAGTGCATGAAATACACAGGCGCACGCATGCACACGCAACTACCCAGAACGGCACATAAACTACCCAGAACGGCACATGCGGCCATGCACACAAAAGGAGTGTCCGCGTATGCGCATACAATCAGCAAGAAAACTAACCATAGTCGTTTAATTTCCTTGCCTTGTCCTTTTCAATGAGCCCATTGGCGTGGGCATCGTCCCCTTTCCTGAGAACACAACAACAACAACAACAACAACAACAACAACAACAACAACAACAACAACAACAACAACAACAACAACAACAACAACAACAACAACAACAGCAACAGCAACAGCAACAGCAACAGCAACAGCAGCAGCAGCAGCAGCAGCAGCGGCAACAACAATCTTATTGGCCATTGGCCATCGTGAGAATAGAGATCTCAACAACTACAGCAACACACAGACGTTCTTACTTCAACTTCTTTAGCTTGCGAGAGGATATACGTGTACACAAAGAATACAAGTGACGCATATCCCCCCTCTCCCCCCCCCCCCACCCCCTGCCCCCCCCCTTGCCCCATACTGTACCTGCTTCTCCCTCAAAGCACAGAGAGCACTGCCTTAGCCATTTCATTCCCTGGAGTGCTGCTGACAATCAACTTGTGCCAGGCGACCGGACACTCGGCAAACCAAACCAAACCAAACCTCAGTGCAAGTTCAATAACCTAATATGTGCGCTCATCCAGGCTTTGCATGCAGTGGGCCCCAAGTAACCATGGCGACTTGGCCACACTGAAGTGCTCAACTCCCCACTGTCATGTCTGCTGTTCCCAGCAATGCGCCACAGCCACAACACAAACTACATTGAGACACACCTGTCGTGCCTCCTTCTCGTACATTTCTTCTTACAAGATAACACTACTAGTATTCAGGGGATTCCCCTCCCCAGCCCTCCCCCCCCCCCCCCCCGGGCCAGCAGGAGTGGGAGGCTTACTCGGCATCAAGACGTTCTTTCTCCTTCTCTTCCTCTGCCAGCTGACCAACACGAATGAACACCTCCTCCATTGTGGTGACAGACAATCCAAAGTTGTCGATTCCTAGCTGTTCCTTTTGCACTGCAGCATGGAAAAAGGAGAACAGCAGAAAAATGACAGCGGTCGAGAAGCTGAACACACGCAGCACTTGCACGTGTGACTGTGTGCCGGTGTGTGAAAAATGACAGCGGTCGAGAAGCTGAACACACGCAGCACTTGCACGTGTGACCGTGTGCCTGTGTGTGTGGCCAGCCATGCCTAAAAGCTTGTTCTAATTCGGCCAGGAGTAGGGTTCAGACCCTGACCAATGCCACCTGTCCAAACGATGTGAAATTCGATACTCTAATGGCCAACATTTTGGAGAAACAAGTCCCCAAAGCCAAAGGGAAAGACTTGTCAGGATTTTCATTGCACAGATTTTACCAATCTCTCATCTAAAGAACACGACTATAGCATATCATCTGAACGTGCACTAGACCCTGGACCTTAGACGGTCATCACCAAGGAGATGATAACCATAGCAACCGGTGCTGGGATTGCACAGATCATCAGCTTGCAAGGCTGAAAAAATAGGCTGCCCACATTCCGGCCTGGTCTACACCACACAGCTTTCGAATATTTGTTCTGGCTTTTGGACATGCATGTGCTTACCCTCCATATCTTCGAAGAGCTGTGGAAAAGAGCCGGTTGCCTCCGAGGGCAGGATGAAGGCCATTTCAGCGCCGACGCTCGACACCATGCGTCCATTGGGTATGGACTTCACGATGAAGCTGGCCACGCGATTCTCGTCACACTGGCTCCCCTTGGCTACGGTCAAATGGTAACCAACACCGTACCTGCAGGCAAGGAGTACAACACAATGTAGGGACACGGTTTACTGTCTTCCAGCAAAGTCGGTCTCACAGAGATGCCCATTTGCACTACAAGCCTGCTTTTCAGCTTGACGTAAACTTACTGTAAACGTACCAAAAAATTCAGAATTCGTTAAAAAGTTTCGCTCATTAAACTTTCTTCTTTGTCAGGGTATACTATAGAACATCTGGCTTCAACAAAAGCTTAGCTCTAGATGGGCTCTGACATCGGCTTGTACACGAGTAGCCACATTTGTTTTACAGTGCACATGCAGCGGACCAAGGAGCCAAGTTTAAATGGACGTAGCTCTGAGCTTCACACACAGCCCTCGGCCAGAATGAAGTGCAATGAACAAGTGTTAAAAATAACGTGCTCTCCGACGTTAGTGAAGTGTTGTTGGCCATTAAAGATAGTAACACGAGAGCTGGGTGGGGTGGGTTGTAGATACGAAAAATCCGTGAGTGGCCACTGGCCAGAGCTGGCGAACGTAGATACGCATTAGTGAGATTCATTCCAGACGCCCACAAGAAGGCGGAAAAACTCCAAGGAATTGTCTGGCCTGTATGACAACATCCATGTCTGCACTGCTTTCCATCTCTGGCTTTCCGAGCTGTAGCCTAGGGCAAGAAACTAGCTCTCCAAATTCCCAATATTGAAATCCTAACACATGCATGCATACATACATACATACATGCATGCATGCATGCATACATACATACATACATACATACATACATACATACATACATACATACATACATACATACATACATACATACATACATACCCCCCCCCCATCCACACACACATCAGTGACACAGGCGCCGCCGGTATCTAGTCATCTGCGACTAACCTTGACTTGAGGAAAAGTGAGGAGCCGACGCATTTGCACTGGCCATCGGCCATGATGGCAATACGATCGCCCAACAAATCAGCTTCGTCCCTATCCAGCACAGCAGACAACACACACCAGAGCACACCAGATCCACAGACTATCGTTGTCTTGCACAACACTGCAGCAGCCATGCCATACAACGAACCAGTACAAGTACTGGCAGCAAAGCAACACCAATATCAAGTTGCAGCAGCCAACAGAGATGAGACCAGGACTGAAACTTTGTAACACATTACACAATTCAACTTCAACTGTTTCAGTCATTCACCGTGATCATAATCATCTTGCAAAGATAGAGTACTGTACTTTTAAAGTGCAGCAGAGGGAAAGAGTACAGGGCATGCAACTTTACAGTCATCAATTTACCGGAGGATGCACCCAGTGTGCTGACAGTGATCAACATCGCGGAGGCAGAGCCTCTAAGCGTAATATAGAACAGAACAACGAGGGCAATCAAGGCTTGTTTGCTGCTACTTAAAGTTTCATGCTCTTGCAATCATCAGGCAACATAAGAATGGGGTGCCGACCATGCCGGTATATATATGCCAGGAGAGGGTGGGTCCTGTAGCGCTGTGTGAAAAGCACAGCCATCAATTTATCAAGAGCAAATAGCTAATGTGGAACACCGTAAAACCTGTCGAAAAGTTCGTACTTTTGTTCAAATTTAGTGGTCACACCGGTACTAACTTGTCGGACACGAACCAATTTTTCGAACCACTCAGAATTGCAACAAACCAGCCTTGCTAGACTGTTGTGCTGTGTAGTATGCTCTACCTTCGCCATGTCACACGGCAAGCACTCATAGCACACTGGCTGCCCCCTCCGTGGGCCTTGGAGATAGTGGATCCAGCAGTGGATCCAGCAACTTAGGCTGGAAGCAGGGTGCGCTACTCGAACTGCGAGCAACCACCTAGAGCCCTTACATGTAATGAGTGGTAAGCAGAATGGTGCGGTCCTTCTTGTGCTTGATGAGCAAGTCCCACGTTGCACGACGTGCGTACGGGTCCATACCGGCCGTTGGTTCATCGAAGATCACCACCTTGGAGCCTCCGACCAGCGCAATGCCCACACTACATGACCAGACAAATGTAGGAACAGAGGAGTGTGAACATGTGCAACCGAGAGCGCATGCATGCACGTACAGAAACATGCATGCACACACACATGCACACACACATGCACACACGCATACATGCACACACACACACACACACACACACACACACACACACACACACACACACACACACACACACACACACACACACAACAGACGCACATAAGACAAATCTGTCAAGGGGATATTCTAACTCTGAAGTTAGTCATAATACTTCACTGCATCACCAATGTCATGGACAGAGAGGCAATCAACAATCTGCAGATCATGCTGGTTCCTATATGCCATGGCTATGTCCATCGACTGAAACAATACATCAAACACTTCAATACATTTTCCTCAGAGTGTGTGGACTCCTGCGTAGCCACTTCATCTCTCACACAATTATACAGCTAACAGTTTTGGGTATTGGTGTATGATTGTGTGAGGGAATTCAATCCATGTGCAAGATTTCCAGGAAGTAAGGGTGCGGCTTCTTGCAGATTCACTTATAAGAACGGCATTTCAGCTGATAAGCTCGTCTCATCACTCTGCAAAACACTGAACACCGTTTTCATATAGATTTCAGCAACGTTTCGGCATTTCGCCATCACCAGGTCGACTCAAATGCTTTTCTTTTTTTATGTACAAGATAACTAGAATAAAGGGAACACAGGAACTTCACACAGGCAATGCTTAGCTAGCAGCAAGGAGCACGGCTGCTGGACATTCGGGAGAGCATCACACACGCATCACCATGAGTCCCTAACCATCTCTCTCTCTCTCTCTCTCTCTCTCTCTCTCTCTCTCTCTCTCTCTCTCTCTCTCTCTCTCTCTCTCTCTCTCTCTCTCTCTCTCTCTCTCTCTCTCTCTCTCTCTCTCTCTCTCTCTCTCTCTATCCCTATCTGCCTCTTCGTCTCCCTCTCTCTCTGTATAAATGACTCATTAAACCCATACCTTAATTTTCTTTTCATGCCTCCAGAAAGCTGCATGGATTTCCAAGTGGTCTTGTCGCGTAGTTTCAGGTCATCCAACATGTCAGCTACAGCCATATTCAGCAGTGAGCCAGACAGGCCCTGGTCGTTGGCAAGAAAAGCAACACAGAACACCAGCAGCCACGAAAGAAAACTTAATGATATTGCTCAGGGGAGTAGTTTGCACATCTGTGGTATGGTGACCATGTGCCAGAGCACATCTGTGGTGTAGTGACCATGTGCCAGAGCACATCCGTGGTGTGGTACTCATGTACCATGGGCAACCTCCTAGTCGTCGCTTTGCCCATTTTGACTACGTATGATGGCGAGCATTTTGCTGGTGTGATGACCAGACTACGCTGACTACACACGAGCTACGCGCCTGTTGCTGCATGGCATGCATAGGTTAGACGAGGACTTCATGAGTGTTGGTAAACAGGGTGCAAGTAACATCAGGGTCAGTCAGGGTATAGCTTGAACAGCAAGCAGAATAGTGAACCCTACCATACCAGTCACATGGGATGCAGACCATCAGCAGCAAGACAATCAGCAGCAAGACCATCAGCAGCAAGACCATCAGCAGCAAGAATGGCAGTACAGTCGGACCTCGCCTAACCGCACACATCTGTTTTTCACAAAAAATATCCGGATAGGCGAGGGAGCCGGATAATCGAACACACATTCTGTATGTATGCATAGCATATGCTGTAAATATATCCGGATAGGCGAGGGAACCGGATAATCGAATATACATACTGCATGTATGCATGGCATATGTTGTAAATCGGTAACCAACGATTTTGTTCCGGATGGCGAGGGATCCGGATAAAAGAGGACCGGATAAGCGAGGTCTGACTGTACGCCAAAGAAAGTTTTTGAAGAACTTTCAAAGACAAGCCGGTTGTACCCTGGGGTCGCTACAGGATAAACCGATATGTAGAGTAAAGTTCACGCTTCATCAGCCAATTCGACTCCACCTCTAGCCCCACAGTTATCACTACAACACAAATACTGTTCTTGACTGCACGATTCCGACGGAAAATCCCACCAAATACCGGTACATGTAAGGTAAAACCTGTCAAGGCGAACACTCGGAAAAGGCGACCACCTGTCGCAGAGGACCACTACAACCAGGACCAAGAGATGTTATTTCCGGTCAAATGACACTGGTTACGGAGACCACCTGTATGCAGCGACCACATTTGGAATATGTCCCTTGAGCGGTCGCCTTAGACAGGTTTCACTGTATTGCAAGTTGCGCAGAGAGGTGACAAAGCGCTTACCTTGAGTGAGGCAAACAAGACAAGATGTTCGTTCACTGTCAGCTTATCCCAGAGGACATTGTGCTGCGGGCACAGACCCAGGTCGCCACGGATCTGATCCATCTCGGTGAGGATAGACTTGCCGTTGATGTAGGCATTGCCCCCTGTTGGGTTGTACAAACCGGTCAGCATCGACATGGTCGTTGTCTTGCCCGCACCGTTGTGGCCCAGCAACGACGTGATCTGGCCCTCCACCATGTTCAGGGTCAGGCCGTCCACTGCCACCTTTGTGCCTTGCAAACCCTGCAGCAGCATCATGAACATCACCAACATTATCAACATTACCAACATCACCAACAGGGCAGCAGCAGCAGAGGCAGTAGCAGCAGCATCAGCAGCGTCACCAACATCATCTACATTATCAACATTGTCAACATTCTCTACATCATCAACATTTATCAACATCTCCAACAGGGCAGCAGCAGAGGCAGTGGCAGCGGCATCAGCAGCATCAGCAACATTATTAACATCATCAACAGAGCAGCAACATCATCAACATCGTCAACATCACCAACAGAGCAGCAGCAGCACCAACAGAGCAGCAGCAGCAGCGTCACCGCTAAGGCACCAAGAGCAGCAGAGTGAAAGGAGAAAAGTCAGAGTCCCCGGCAAAACTCACAGCCGCCTTTCCCTAAAACACCACCAAATACAAGTACTGCAGGTCCTATAAAGTACACCTGCTGCCTCATTATCGACACCTCCGACCAGGCATGCATACAGTGGACATGATTGAGTGGACAGAACTCCGAGGGCTAACAGCACATGGTGGCGTACACTTACTCGGAACACCTTCTGCAAGTTGTCAATGCGGATGCCAAACTTGACACCAGTTGGCTCCGGTTCAAAAGCACTGGAATCGGCAGATTGGTCATTGCCTTTCAGCAGCTCCTGCGTGCCAGATAGCAGACAATACATGTAGGCACACACAAACATCACAGTTCATTCAGAAAGCAAAGATGATCACCCGAAAAATTCGGCGATAAGTTATTTCGTGGCAAAGAGAGCATGCAATACGAGTGATGAGGCCGAGTGACTTGTTAATTTCAAGTGACAAAAACAAAACCTCCAGTGGATCCCACACGGTGTGTGGCTTGGAGCTACGGCACAAGAACAAGAAAACATAGCTGAGCGTACCTTCTCGTGGTAGTCGTCGCTTTCGCCATCAGGGAAGCCAAACCAGTAAGACGGCTGCAAGAAGAAGTAGAACTTCTTCGGCACACCGTATTCGCCGGGGAACACCGCTTCGATGTACCTATGAGTATGAGAGCAGAGAGCAGGGCAAAGTAGCCAGGCAGCCAGCTCGGTCACCAAATTTCAAACAGCCAGAAAAGCCCAACACAACTTAGAGAGTCGGTCAATCTGACTTTCCCGTATCCATAGGAACAATGAGCAACTGAGCATGCAATAAAAAATTTAAAAAAATATCTTTTTATTCGATGACTCAATCCAGCAATCATGCCGTGACCTAGTGTGGGACAGAAGCAGCAATTGTAATGGGTTGAGTTGTCTCTTTCATCGCCCATGCACTCATGAAGACAAGATAAAGAGTTGGGCAAAAGAATACGATGGTAGAGGATGTGTTAGCTTCTCTTAGGGGCCAATGCATGCCGATGTTCTCGTGTGTCCAGGGAACTAATCAGCAAGCACAGACGAACGCACGCACGTACGCACACACACACACATATGCACTCGCACCGAAACAAACAAACAAACAAATAACCAAACAACCAAACAAGTGCCGTACCAAGTCATAACCCAAAAGAAGGCGATCTGCGCTAGGATGAGCAGATAGGCGCTCTGCAGATTGAACGTGTTGAACTGGTCCAGGCCATCCGAGAGATTGCTAAAGGACACGGTGACACCGCGGCTGCCTTGTTGTAATATCAACACCACCGAGTACGTCAGGCACGTGTTCAGGAAGAATGGTGCACAAAAGCCGTTCTTGATTTGACTGCACAGCAGCAGAACGCAGAAAGCAGGCCAAACACATGCAGCAACAATGCAGATTAGTGCACATTTAGACTTTAAACGCGCACGCATGCACGCACATGCACACTGACGCGCCCAACGCGGGTCCCTGGTCGAGGGGCCCCAGTTCTGTCAGTACAGGCGTATGCATGGACCCCATGTGATGAGAACCATCGAGATGAGAACCACCCAAACCTGTATGGATACATACAAGTCGGTGCTGTGACGTCGCACTTTCAAGCCCTATTGCACACGACATGCACTTGTAAGCGCAAACCTGCGCCGATCTTCAGGCGTTCTCGAAAATACGATGCGATCACGCTCTCTACATACACATCTGGACAACCCAGGAGGCAAAGGCTTGGATTTCATTACGCCATGCCTCAAAGCCGGCCAGTTGCATCCCTCGCCAACTACTTCATCTTTAATGAGAATCTAGCCGTACGGTTAGAGGAGAAGGCAGAAATGCCCGTGTATCTGGTGAAGTAAAATAAAAACAAACAAACAAACAACCGAGCACCCAGTCAAACATGCCAGCCATACTCTCCGCCATTCCTCTGGCCCCCTCTCTCCCATGGTGCTTGCTGTGTACGCCGATCCCGAGACCCTTGGTCGGGGGAGTCCACTGCATCTCACCAGCGCAGCTCATGTAGCGCCTACACACCCATTGTTCTCTTTTTTGTTTCGTCTTCCCCTTCTTTCGTAGGTATGTGCAATGTAAAAAAAAAAAAAAAAAATAGTGGAGAAGTGCGAGCTGCTTACGGATCAACGGTGGTGCTTCCGCTAAAGATAAATGCTGGGACAACGCTGACGAGGAACATGACGGTGGCCACCAGAGCACCAACAGTGGGGTTGGAGAAGAGTGTGCTGTAGTGGCGAAACAGACCAAGGCAGATCAGAAAAAAAAACAGACCAAAGCAGATCAGAAGAAACAGACCAAAGCAGATCAGAAGAAACAGACCAAAGCAGATCAGAAGAAACAGACCAAGGCAGATCAGAAGAAACAGACCAAGGCAGATCAGAAGAAACAGACAACACAGTTTCATCATGCAACACAGCAAAAGAAGAGACGGCTAGATTGAAATTTATCCTCACAACATCGCTCACTAGATTACGCGGGCAGTACAAGCAAATCAGTACCCACCATTCTCT